GAAGCAACAGTAGAAACTGCTGTTAAATCAGCAGAATCAATTCTGTTTCTGCTGAATAAGTTGAATGAAGTTTTCCTTCACATGGCTACTCTATTTCCCTTTTAAATATCCAAGCACTGCAACACCAACTATTTTCACTAGAGGTCTCAGGACATCCACTTTACACAGAAAATAAATGTTTTCACTTCTCCATTGTTTGACTAAATAAATAAATAAAACAGAGACATTTAAAGGAAAGATCAAACGAAATGTTTACCTGTCCACTAAACCATTTTGCATACAGCACAATCCAGCACGGCCCCCTAGTTGCATACAGATGAGGCACAGGAGGGTCAGTTCACTATAACTGATCAGATGTATTGTTATGTGGATAAGCAGAATTTGAGGGTGGTGCATGTTCCATTCTGACTTTTAATCATCAAGCAGAATTACTTCTAAGAAAGTTCCTACTTTCTTTCATGACATGCGAAGCTGCAAAACTTGGGTTTACGGATGAAACAATCCAGAGTTAACCCATGGTTTGTTGTTGGGTTAATTCTGAGTTATTTGACCCCTAAAGAATCCGGAGTTGCCAGCTAGGACAAGGTGTTCCTTTTTTGTTAACTGAAAGAAGAAATGGCTCAAGGACAGCTCACACACTTCACTCATCTTCAGTAATTTCTAGATTCAACAGCCTGGTAACTGCTGCTGCCATTATATACAACCCAGGTCATTAACTTGACCCTTGATTCAAGTTAAATGTTCATTTATTTACTTAAATGGTTATTTCATATTCCACCTGGGAAAGGTAACAATGATGCAGTTAATGATTTGGCTGCATATCATGCAGAATAAAAATTCAATAAATACATGAATACGGAAATGCATGTTATAATAGTTGAGCTGGGAACTGGAACGATGGTATCTTGTGCTTGTGGTGAATGACTCTAACAGCCAACTCACCACGTAGGCATGAAGGAAAAAAGGAAAAAAAGAACAATCACACAGTACTTACGGGATAGCAAACACAGCATGTCTAGAGTAATTTTTGGAAGCAAGTTAGAATAGAAAGAATTTTCAGGTTGTTTCCCATTTTGGAAAAGCTTGCCTGGACTGGAGGCTTTTCTCTGATTATTATGCCAGGAGGATTCAGTCAACAGTCATAAACCAATTTCTAAGTCAGCCCCATTGTATTAAGAGAGGCTTACTTCTGAGTATATCTGATGAAGCCTGGGTGATGGTATTCTCATCATTAAAAGAAAGATAACAGGGTCAAACTTGGAACAGAAAGGAAGACTAAACTCATACTGGAAGAGAATAAGGATAACTGAATATATACATAAACACAAGTCAAGGAAGACAAAAGAGCCAGGCGGCTCGAGTTTGGTGCCCTGAATAAAGCACAGTTGTGTTCCTTCCATTAGAGCCGTTGTGACATGAGACAGACTTTTGTTTATTCATGGGAGGGGGCTGGCACTGAATAGTCTCCATTTCAGAAAGAAAACATTCTATCCCTTGGTGATACTGTAATGACGGACCAAAAACATTTTGTGACTAAGACTTTTCAGAGCAGTGTGTGGGAGGCATATGTGCAATCCAATTATTTGTTAATAGCATTTCTGGATTACACCCACACAATACCTTGAGGTTTTCACAATCAACACTTCAATGCTTTTGAGTTGGCTCATGGCCACAGAGGCTTCTTGCTGTTTGGACAGCAGCTACTAACATTTGAAAGATTATTTCTCAAGGAAGGTTTTCCAAAATATGTAAAATAAAACTTTCAGGCTCTCAGTTGGCACACATGGTTACAGTAATAAAGTCCCTAACCCCTAATGAGAGAAATTTGCCCATTATGATGCACAACTTTGGTTGATTATTATTTTTATGTATTACATTTCTATACTGCTCATAACCAAAGCTCTCTGGGCAGTTCACAACAGGATATAAAAACAGTGAAATACTATATATAACAAAGCATTTTAAACAATTTAATTAATGCTAATTTAAAAAGTATTAAAATGCATTAAAATACAATAAAAAGACCTGAACAAGTAGAAAGAAAAAAGGTACCTGCACAAACCCATCAGGCTCCTGGATAAACAGGGAGATCTTTAAAGATCTCCACAAAGAGGTCTTAACCTGGCAAACTTGGTACCAGGCAGGTGGCAGAGATGGGGAGGCACCAAAGTAAAGGCCCTCGCCAAGTTGCTACCCTTCGAGGCTCTCAAGGGGTTGACACCTGGAGGAAGCCCCTGAGATTGAACACACAGCCGGGGTAGATTGACTGGGAGAGGCACCTCAGGCATATTGAGTTTTCTGTAAGACCAGCACCTTGAACTGGGATCAGAAGCATACAGGCAGGCAATGCAGGAGGGCTAGAACTGGTCTTCTATGTTCAGACCTGCTCTCAGTTATTAATCTGTCTGCCAAAGTGTGCACCGGCTGCAGCTTCTGAACTGTCTTCAAGGGCAGCCCCACAAAGAGTGCAATGCAGTAATTCAATCTAGAAATGAGCACAGCATAAATTACTGAGGCCAGGTTAACCCTTGTACGGGTTGCCAAAGCTGGCATAAGGCACTCCAAGCCACCAATGCCATCTGAGCCTCAAGTGACAAAGATGGATCCACTATACATATTAGTTATGTCAGAACGTACTTGGGCTAAATATAATCATAAGTGTAAATTTGCAACTACCAACTGCTTAAAATATACATCCTAAATGTACAGTAGTATCTAAATGTGGTCAGCATATTTTATTTCCCTAGTAAAAACTATATTATTGTGATAATCAGATCAATGTTCAAAAATGCAAACTCACTATCTTAACAGAATTTTGTAATTATACTTAGGTCAAAACTATTTTAACACCACTTAAGACAATGGGGCCAAATCTACTATGATCTCAGGCTCTGGCTCTTTAGCTGATAAACAGACAACCTAATCATTTTAGATATTTTTTGACATTAAGATATATTTAGCAACTATAGCAGTCAAAAGCAGAAGACAGTTGGATTCCAAAAAGCAGATGTAAAACTTCGCAATAAAGCCTTCTCTTTCTTGCTGTAGCTTTCCACACACTCTGAAAAACCAACCCTGGGGATTTCTCATTCGCCATAATAATGTGGAATGTGGGGCAGGGGATACAGTGGTAGGATACCAGTGGAAATGGGGGCCCACTTGTGTTTTCAACCCACCCAAGAGACTTTATTGTTGCCAACAGCAATACCGTATAAGTAAGTAAAATATCCATGCAACAAAAACAAGCAAACTATAGCACAAAAATATGACTGCAGGTCACAGCTCAGTTTCAGATGTCATTCCTTTGGACTCCTTTTGACCATCCAATTCTCCATTTTGCTGCAGCTCAGGCCAAAGAGACCTTGCCGCACAAGCAATATACACAAGCTTTGGAATACAGACGAACAGAAGAATCTGTTTTAGAAAAATCCCAGAAATGCCACTGACAGTGAATTTCATATTAAGACCAGCATTTTACTGGCTTCTTTATCCAAAAGATGTAAGTCAATCTTTTAAAATGAATTTTATCCTTTCGTAGTAGCTTTTGCTTGGTATCCAACAAATCCAAAAGTGAAAACACTGCAAATGAGACATTCTAACGAGCTCTGCAAAGTTTGGATACATAAATGGGAGGCACACATAATTCTTTCCAATAAACTGAGAATGGCACTGTAAATATACATACCTGTTATACTATAATTTCAATAATTAACAGGAATCTGGCATTACTACGGCCTGAATTCTAGAGATATTCACAATGCACAATTAAGGGTTTGGCAAGGCTTTTTTTTTAATCCCCCTGAATAGAAGTCTCTCACATTCCTGATTGTGCCTCCACTGCCATCATCTCCCCACCACCCAAACTCACCAGGACCTCCTCTTTGCAGCAAGGAAATGCCAAACAGATTTCCCTCTCCAGATGGGTGGGGCAAGAAGGGCTCCCTCTCTCCCCTTTCACTTCCTCTTGCTCCACGGGGATGATAATTTTTCACAGTAATTAAAAAAATTAATAGGCTTTATGACAGTTCATTCCTAAGTACAGGTTGTTTGTAACTCAGATATTAGTAACTCAGGGAGTGCCAGTACTTTCTTTTCTCTGTCCTTTAGTAATAGCTGCGGCTGATACGTACTGTGTCCTGAACATGATTGCCAAATTTCATTCTGATATCCTCAAGGAAGGTGTTCTGTTGCAAGTAAACTAAGAATACCTAACCAGCAGAGGCCAGTGACTTTGTTCAAACAGGCCAAAGATCAGGATCCATGGCTGGCAAACAACAATCCAGTGGAGCAGAGAAGAATTATTCCAAGTAAAATGGGCTAGCAGTCAGGTTCCAGAGCAGACAGATCAGGTAAAGCAAGAGGATTTTTGTTTAATAGCTTCACTCACAGCTAGCTGCCAAGAAGCTAGGATAACCTTTATTTGCCTCTCCAGTTCATATGCCTGTCTCGGCCTAAGTGTAGTTTCCTTCACACCACTGTCCGGAGGCATGCTATGGAACAGCAAGTTTCGACCTATAAGTTGTTGTAGCGGCACAGCGATTCCTCTGCCTCAATCACACTGGCACCTTACATGAACAAGTAAGTTAACCGTGGGCCTTACCTTGCTTGCTAAGCTCTACTACCAGTACAAGTTTAGAAGGACTATAAAACACTTCAAGGTAAGCCACAAAAGAAGCATTTCTGATTGCCTGCCAACATTCATTGAGGCATGTATTAAAAGCAGACTGCAGAAAAAAAGGTTAAATAACCACTATACAAGGAGAAACAAAGGAGATCTGAAAACTGTCAGCAGTATATTGAACAGATTGTACAGTAGTATGAGCTGCGAAAATAATGTCTGTTGCTATACTCCCATGACCATTCCAACACATGCTGGATCCATGCAACCTACTTTCTGCACCCTGCCAATCTGGTTGTGCAAAGTGGCTTTCAGACATGTTTACCATTTCTGAAGAGACTGTATAGTTTTTACAGATCAACCGAGGATTTTAATACTATACCTGTCCAGTATATGCGAAGTCCAGAGCTTGCTTTAAACCTATGCTTGTGATGCCATGTAAATGCACCTCATCTGCACCACTCTCAACCATACAAAGACTGAACATTGCCTAAGAAAAGAAAGAAAACATGCATTTGTATTAAAATAACCAAACACAGAAGTTCCCATTAAAGGTCAGGGATTACTACTGCTCCATTGTTATCCCCTAATTAAGACATTTTTTAATACTGGGCTGCATCTAGAGCAGCATGGAGCAGAGTTCAGTTCATACTGGAGGGATGGGTGGGAAGGCATTCTTTACAGTTTCTCCTTGACCCTTTTCCTTTCTGTGGAGGATTAAGTGACACTCCAAAGCAGGAGGTAGCAGGAAGATAGAGGAATTGATGAAGGTTGCCTTCCCCCACTCTCCTCCTACAGACAGCAGCCTCTGCTGGGACCCAGGACCTTAAAGGAATTCAAGAAATGGTCAGTCTACATCCAATCCAAACTGGCAATCTATTCCAAAGGTTCACTTCACTCTTTTCACATTGGTTGGGTTCACACACTTGTCTTATTTAAGCCATGATGGGTCACAGCATCCATTGACTCCAAGTTGCCCTGTAAGGCCACAGCCACGGCTTGCTTTTTGTGCACCTGGTATGGTGCACAATAGTGCTTAATACAACCCAAAAAGAGCCGATAGGGTGTTTTTGGGTGCTGTCTAGATGCACTGCTAAGACCCTTTGGCAGTTTACCATGGTGCATGAACAAGCCTGGAATATCCTGAAATATATAAACTAGGACTGATCTTTGAAAGGTCCATCCAGGATCATCTCCTGAACCAGAAATTACTTTCCTGCTTCCCCTTTACCCTCATTTCCATGAATGCACTGCATGGATGTAGGCAAACCTCCCTCAGCCTCAGCCTCCTAGCCTACCTGATAAGACTGCTATAAGGATTTCTGGTAGTATATATACTGTGAGTCACCTAGAGTCCCCATCTTTGGGAAGAGGCAGGATATAAATAAATAAGACGATTCTTGGGGCACTTGAGATGCACTGTACGTACACATACTACGCACTGCTATTCCTATTATTCAGCCAAATGAGGTAAGGTTGTGAGGGGGCAATTGAGGGCATGCAAATCACAGCTGCTGCATAAGCCCCCATGGGTTCATACACTCAAGTTCTCCATGCAATGCCTGCGGTCTTGCAAGCCTAACAGCGGCTCTGTACACTCCCACAGATGCTCACATGGGTGCCGCTAAGGGCAGAATTTGGTGAAAGCTTTTAAAAATTGTAGCAAATGCCGCTTCTCTATGAAACCAATTTACAATTGTACTGCAATGTTAATTACTGATTAAAATCGCTTTTAAAGGTAAATCAAAACAGTCAGTTTTTTACTCGTAGTTCAAAATAGAGCACAACAGCCGAAAACAGACTGCTGAGCTCCTCCAATTCACCAGCTTTACTGAATGTGATGCCATAGAAACCACAGTCATAAGGTGGTTGACTAACAACAACAACAAGTGCAGCAAATATAATTTAATGACTTCATAAACCTGAATGTGACATCTATTTGGCGACTGCCTTTCATTCTTTGTCTTTTACTGAGGTCACCATTGTTAATTACAGCCTAACAGTTTTCTGAATTCTATAAACACAGGGAAATGTTCCTGATTAGCATGGATGCTTGTGTTTGCTCAGAAAATACTTCAGTGAATGGTAACACTTTTCATATTATGAGTAGAAGCTTCCCTTTACAGATCTTGTGATATGATGAAACGTCATTATGCTTTTCACGAGAGACATTAATAACACATTTCAGAGACACACCATTTCACCAAACACTCCTTGTGAATGGGGGTGAGGGGCATGTGCAACAGAAGGCCTGAAAAAAACCCACCTCATGTGTCTCATCTTCCATGCCTTTTCTGACTGACTAATCAATAAACTATGAAGCAATTAAGCAGTCGAAGAACATGAAGAAATGAAAATGTACTCCAATCATATTTTGCTTTCTGAACTCCTGGAATGGGGAGGGAGGACTCAGGAGATCAGGACTTTGGGTCAGCCTAACTTACCTCAAAGGGTTGCTGTGAAGATAATAGTAATAATACCACTTCCAAACAGAAAAGAGTGACGTTCCGAATTAGACAGACCGTCAACTGCATTTGGCACCTAAGGTGAGATCTGTAGTTCTCCTGTAGACAGTAGCTGCTCACACTGTTATCTGGTTGTTCTAACAATCTGATGTTAAAAAGATATCCTGAAGCTGAGCTGGTGCAATTATTTGCCCTTTGTTTCGCTAAGTTGCAGAATTTGGACAAGCCCCTACTCACTCCATATACCTTCTAGATCAAGGTATCTAGATCTTCTGAACAATTTCCCCCAGTTATACACCCCTTTTTTTCAAAATTTGCTCAGTCAGACAATATCTACAGATAAAATAAGAGAGAACAGCAGAGACAAAGGTAAATAAAACAAGAGGGGGGAAATAAAAGGGAAAGGGTGAGCTAACATGAGGAAGGGTGCATGTACATCACCATATGATCACTAGGATAGAGTTTGTTTGATGTAGCCTTTTCTTATATATGTATCAGAAAAATTAACAGAAGCAGAATAATACCTGCGATTAAAGAATGAAGGAATGGAAAATTAATTTGGAGATAGCTGGGTCTGAGTTAAGAGTCCTTTTAAAACGGAAAAAAAAACCAAAGGGGAGAGAAGGAAGACTACTGGAGAAAAAGTGAGAAAAGCTAGGCATCCACCGAAAGGAGGGATAACTACAGATAACTATTCAAAGGTAATGGAACAAATATGGGAGAAATTGTTACAAATGTCAAAAAGTAGCAAGCAAATGCTGCTATCGTACTCATCTGAAAGAGGTGCCAGACATTAAAAGATGGGAGTTGGGAACAGAGAAGAATCCATATCTTACTAGGGCTATGGAGTCTTAAGGAGCAAAAAAAGGAAGTAGCTAGGGGTAAACCCCCTATTTCCCCATAGAAGAATGGTTACAAAAGCTTTGTCATGCTGAAGATAAGAAGGTGGAGAGGCACAGTCTAGAAAATGGGGGTGGTTCGTAATGAGACATTAGATTTGGGAAGACATTTCCAAAGATGACGAGATTCAGGAGCAACAGCTGACAAAAAGAAAGTAATATAACTGACAAGGCAAAAGTGCTGAATAATAAAGAGTGGCACGGTTATTGTTATGGTTTCTGTTGCTTATTGCATTTTTATACCATCTAATACCTGGAGCTCTCTGGGCAGTTCACAATAGTTCATAAAACAGTAAAATAAAATTCAATAAAAAGTTGTAACAACTCATATCAAAAACACAAATGTTTTGAACAGAAATTTAAGAATGGCTTTTAAAAAGCATAAAATGAAGAAAAGCCCTGTAAAACAACATCTCAGATGAGTAATCCCCTCAAGCCCTTGGATATCTCAGCATATTTTAAAAAAACTCAGCATAAAGGGACCATCTAAAACCTGGTACAGAAAAGATGACAAGGTTGGCACCAGGCAGTCCTCATTGAGGAGATCATACCAAAATTGGGGAGTCATTTTTGGAGGGAATAGAAAGGCATTCCCTCTTGTGGCCACCCTCCAAGCCTCCCTCAGAGAAAGACACCAAAAGTTAGTGAGGTGTTCAGGTACATTGTGACTGCAAAAGAGAACACATCAATGAAGATATTTGCTAAGTGAAATCTATACAAATAGGCAACATCAGAGTTCCAGTCTGTCTGCAGCAGAATTAAAATACCATGAAAGTAGGTAAAAGTAATACACTCTTTCTTCTTTCATTTTCAATTGAAAGTATTTATACGTAAAGCTTTTAATAGCATGATCAACATGCAAATAATTGTTTACAATGAACTTCTATTTTTTTATACTTTGAATTAATTACTACAGTGTTTAGTGAGATCTACACCCATTTACTCTTTGGTGCACTAAAACTTTCATTCCTAGATGCAAATACTATGCATTTCAACTGAAAACAGAAGCAATACAGGTGGAAGAGGCAACTCGTATGACCTTGTTCTCAGTCTGCAAGTGGCAAGGACACCAACCACAACTATCCAAAAACAATAGCAAAATATTAAATGGTTAAATGCATGTTTTGACAGAAAAGGTCCTACAACGTCCAGCACTCCCCAGCCAGCCCTAAATCCCAAAAGATGGTGCAAGACTGTAGCCCTTGCACAGCAAGGAAGGGAAAGTTGATGGAAACCCCATATAATACTCTCTGGGTTGGCTGATGAGCACTTCCTTGCAGGTTGTTCCCTTGAGTAATCCACCAGACAGAAGCATATAGATGAGTCATTGACATGATTCCTTTCTAGACAAACACTGCCATTTTTTTCCTGGCCAGGCAACACTGTGACCAAGAAAGTCTTCATCCATCCATGCCCACGAGTTTTCACATGCACACAGTTGTGAGACAGCTTGTGAAGCAGAACCACTCCCACATCATTGCTAGTAACTGAAAGATCAGCACTGAGACATAGGCTGTGTTCAAGCAAACATTTAAAATGCTGAATCTGATATGATGACAGTAACATATGGTAAATCTGCCAGCACAATGACTAGTCATTTGAGCATCCCGGCATGGCACAGATGCTCTGCAAGATCACTGCTCACTGTCTCAAGGCTCAACCGAAATGTCCATACTCTTCCAGGATATGGCATGATTAACTGTAAAAGGGCAGGGTAAAAATTAGTAAACTCACAACACAAACCGTGACACCACACTAAAACAAACTGGTTCAATGCAGTTACTCCTGGTTAGTAACAAGCACACTTCTGAGAACTCTCACTGAAATAAAACTGTTTTCATAGCTCCCCTTGAAGTAAGCAGTGATGGAGACATCTTAGATCGGCCTTCCCCAGTCTGGTGTCTTCCAGATGTTTTTCAATTCCTGACCAGACCAGTCACCATATTGGCTGGAGCTGATGGGGTCTGGAGTCCAACACTCCAGAAGAATCTGGCTGAGGAAGGCTATTTTAGACCCTGTGCACTGCAAGTGAAAAGGTCCTTTCCAGAGTCCTGCCTGCTTTACATCAAACAGCAGCAGCCTTTTAAAGAAAGCCCCAGAAGAAAAATTAAATTGTCAGGCAACTTTATTTGGAAGAAAGAGATTCCTGGGGAATTTTGATCCTGGGTATTTAAGCCTTTAAAGGGTCCAAGTTAGCACCTTGATTTGAGCTGAAACAGGTGACACAGACCACATTCACACATCACACTAAATTATCTGGGGAATAATCCATGGTGGGTGGATCATCATGCAAATATCCCAGGGTGTGCCTTACCTGTTTCTCTGCACTCCTGTTGGCATCCCAAGGGACACTGCAGGAGGGCCAAATTGCCGCCTCCTCACTCCCCATCACCAACTGTAAGCAATTTCAAGCCCACCATGGTCGTTATTGTTGTTGCTGTTCAGATTGTGAAAGCTGGCTTTCAAGCTTCCCTCTGAAGCATCTTGAAAAGGCTGTGCTAGCCAAGCACTTTCATTTCATTTCGTTTTTGTCCATCTTAAATATCATATTTTAATTTTTCACCCACAACTGCCTGTGTGTGTGTGGGAATGAAGAGCTCTGCATGGGCAATGTGCAGGGGAGTGACTGCGGGCAAGGTCCAACCGGTGTCCATCTTGGGTCTTTTCCCACAGAGGCTTAAGTTAATTTTATTCTTCCCTTTGGAAGCTGTCAGACATAATCAAAGATGCAGGTGATCTTAGCTCATGAAAAGTGATTGGCAGATCATTCATTCCCTTTATGGAGTGATCCCACAGTTTTTGGAGGGATGTGTCCTAAGGGTTTCTTCACTTTTGCACTTGATCTCAATGTGTCTTAAAACAGCCCAATTGCACTTGTTCTACCATTTCAGGAACGCACAAAAATGTGAGCTGCTTGATTCAGTTTTCAAGTGTGAACAGAAGTGTAAAAAGGGAAGGAGAGAGGCACGGAAGAATACTAGGAAACCCGCACTATTTCACAGAGAGTAACAGCCCTCTAGTTTTCTGTAGGATGCAATCTTATAAAGACTTTCTAAACCATATCCTCCATCTTCTCAAAAACCAGCTCAACTGTCTACAATGCAAGACAATTCCATTCTTCATATTCTAGTTCAGTAATAGAGCAAAACTATAATTCAGAACTTCTCATGCACACCAGAAGGACAAAAGGTTGGAACCCAACGAAATAGAAACTTGTTCCTCAATGAACTTTTTTTTCAACCCAGGAATCACCTAAAATCAAACTCCAATTTGGCAAATGTAAGAAGACTACCTTTCTCTTTACCTCTATTTCCTGCTTCAAGGAACACATATGATTCACTTCACTTGACCATGTATAGAGAATGACAAGCACATGATAAATGTCTTGTGTAGAGAAGCCATGAGAAAATACCATTGATCCGGTGCATCTCTAGCATCTCCAAGGACAGCTAGGAAAGAATTCTGCTGGAAATCCTGGAGAGCCATAGCTGTTAGTCAGTGCTGACTGTGCTGGCTCACACAGCGTAAGGTGGCAGCAGCTTTGCTGCTGACCAAAGCATACTTTACAAGTTGAAAAGCAAGCTCAATGTGCTGTGAAGTAACCCAGTTAAACTGGATTTTAATGCAGAGTAACTACATACATGGGACACATGCATGAACACAAAGAAATGCGCATGCCTGACTGTGAGAGGGGGAGAGGGAGAGAGAGAAGGTGACAAAGTGGAGGAAAGATGGAAATAGCTGGCTGGATCATGATGACTGTTTTTATTGGCAAAAACAGATACTTACCATATTTCCATGAAAATAAGACTGGATCTTATATTAATTTTTGCTCCAGAAGACACACTATGGCTTATATTCAGGTGATGTCTTACTTTTTCATGTAAGACAATCTACATTTATTCATGTACAAATGTCTACATTTATTCATGGACAAAAATCTACATTTATTCAATTATAGTCATGCCATCCTCTTCTGGAACATCGTCATAACTCTCCAAACCCCAGATTGTGTTGCAATGGACATACTAAATCCATCCATCTGGCTGATGATCCTAACTGGGACTTATTTTGTGGGTAGGACTTATATTAGGAGCATCCTGAAAAAGCATGCCAGGGCTTATTTTCCAGTTAGATCTTATTTTGGGGGAAACAGGGTATCACTCTGGAGAGCTGGTACGGTGGTTAGAGTGCTGGACTAGTGTCCTGGGACTCCCTGCTCAGCCATGTAGCTCACTGGTGACTTTGGGCCAATCTCTCACTCTCAGCCTAAAATGCGCAACAGGTTTGTAGTGACGATAAAATGGCGTGGAGGAAGATTATGTATGCTGCCTTAGGTTCCTCACAAGTGGAAAAAAGCAGGACGCAATGTATAAATGAAATGCAATAATAAAAATATAATCCAGCGGTTTACAGTGAGCTAAAAGAATAACTGCAGACTGCCTCCCACACAAATACATTACTCCATTCACTTACTCTGAAGTAGTCACTGCATGCTGCTAGGACTGCCTTGTGGGCATGGAATTTCTGTTCTCCCGCGATGAGTGTTATATCACAGAGTATCCCATCACTTCTTTGTTGATTCAGAGCAGCCAAGACAGCATCATTATGAGAGCTGGACTGACAAAGTCTCTGACCAGTCAGTGTATCTTGGACACTGCAAAAGATAAAGGAAGGAGTACAGACACTGAAAGATATCCATGAGTTATGTATTATTTCATTTATAATTACCCCAGTCTTACAGCCCTATCCTGCACCTATTTATCCAGAAAAGGCACATAGTTAAATATTACTTCAACCTAAAGACTGGATTTTTGAACTCATCTCCCCTTTCTTCCTCTCTGTAGTAACAGGTGCCCAGAATAATTCTATGGCACAAATAGAGAGTGATGGATTCACATATTATATAATATCATTGCTGTTCTAAACATTCACCACACAGCCATAATTATGCCATCACCCCACAGCAAATGCTGTTATGCCCCAAAACTTTGAGTTTAGGGTAGCCCATAAATTCCAAATCAAAATGAATATTCCCAAATAGATTGACAGATCTTATCAAAAATACAAAGCGACTCACCCAAAGAACTTACAAAAGATGACCACAACAACCACTACCAAGGCTCTGATGTTTTCATCAGTATCATATCCTTTACAATTCATACATAAGAGCAAAAGTAGAATCCAGTTCTTGGTTAGCAGTGCATAGTCAACAAGTTACGCAATCCTACATCATTTTGCTCAGAAATAACCTCTTGAATTTTGATGTGACTTACCTCCAAGTATTCATGCTCAGGGATAAAAGCTTTTTCAGGTGTTTGGGGACCATATTTTCAGGTTAACTCTCCTACTCTTAGAAAAGACACTTCATAACTTTGTTATGTTGGTCGAGAAGACCAATTAAATAACACTTAAAATAAATAGAGCAAACATATGTATTTGGCAACAATTCCAAAGTAATGAAAATTGCACGAAATTACATAAGGATTATTTTATAATACAGAGTTACAGACAAGCAGAGATATGTTGAGAGGAACAGAGTAATACTTCACATACCTTACTTGATTAGTTCTCTCCCTGTACTAAAAATCTCTTGGAGGTGTGAGAAAATACATACATCCCAAATACACAATACCTATTTATCTTAATTACTTCATTCACACAAAGTTGCTATAATGTATCTGATTTTTATATACCCCAGTATATGGGATGCGCAGTGGTATATTCCCTCCATTCACTTTATAATCAAAGAGCTTTCAATTACTCCTTTGCAAAAACATTTCAAGAAAAACAGGGAAATGTAGGTGTCAAAATGTTTCCTACCATAGGAAAACTCATGGAGTAGCATGGTTTTAGGAAAACGTTTCTACATGCTTTTGTAATCACTGAACACTAAGTATAACCTTCTCAAACACCGACAGGTTAAAGAGTTGGAATCTTCTGGAGTAGTACTGAAATACCTTTCTAAATATAGTACTGGTTTCTTCTGATAAATTATCACTGGCAATTCCTCTCAGCACTTTTGCTGAAACAGAAATACACACAGGCCAGATAAGGCCGTTTAAACACAAACCTGCCCCCGATATTTCACCACAGACTAAGGGTACATTAACAACAAAAGAATTCCTCAAGTTGGCACCCTCCAAATGTGCTGGTTTACAAGCTCCATCATCCCAGCCATCATGACCCACAGTCTAACTGGCTTACATCTGGAGGGCACCAGGCTAGGAGACACTACCCCAAACCTTTCTTAAGACTGACCCTTAAGTTTAGTTCTTTGAACTTGGGGTCTTGATCACCTTTGAACTTGTTCACATTTCGCTCTCACAGATACACAAGAAGCCTGCTTATAATCCCATATGAAATACATAGAAATATGTAAAAGACACTGTGAAATTACCCTGTAAAAGTGACCTCCTGGTATTTTACACATTATGGCCATCACAGTAACCTTCGTAACAAAAGTAATTGCCTTTTATTTCTTCTTTATGGTTCATAAACTACACTGAAAACAATCTGTACCCAAAGTTTAGCTGGCAATCTGGTGACTGATCCATGAGGATCAACACAATGCTGCTCATTAACAGGAAGACAGATCTTTTTTGTGTGTCAGCATGATTAACATGCAAATGAGTTCAAAAAACACAGCAGGAACAAATATTTTCTATGTAAATATTTCTATGGGGAAAAGTTACAGTGAAAAATCATGGAAGCCCATCACAGCTGCAGAAATAAATCGTCACAGACATGGCTCAGTACAGTCATTTTGATGCAATATTCATGCATGCAGTTTGTGACATTGCTGTCCTTTAGGCTAGCATTCAGTACAGGAACACACATTAAACAGAAATTAGTTGGGACAGCTCCTATGAACTATACCTGAGGCACACCTCAGACGGCATCCTTCAGCTTTGCCCTTCTCAACCTCTTGCTGCTTAATAACTTGCAGAGAAAGCAGCATGCATTCCAGCTAGAGAGAGAAAGAGAACAAGTCAGAATTGAAAGCCCAGACTTTTGTTTTCTCCACAAAAAACACTACCATCGCTATAAAAGTAATCAGGCAAGATTGCGCCCCTTATTAATGGAATAGATCAGCTGAAAAAACAAGATGAAACAGAGCCATGCTTAGCAATAAATACTAAGCCACATGCACTTATAGAGATGATGAAATGGGCACAGAAAGTCACAAGTTGAAAGCAATTCACTGTCTGATTGCTGCACAGTTTCACAGACTAAATAGGGAAAATCACGATGTACGTATAATACGCAGATGAACGACCGAGCCTCAGAACTTAAGATGTATTTTATAAAATATAAACAAAATTTGAAAAACAAGATTTATTCAACACATTCTGCACATTTTTCACTATCTACTCCAGACTTTTCCATATCGCTCCCACAACTTACGTCAGTGCATTGCGAATCTCTTCCTATCATGCTTAATTCACTGGGACTTAAGTTATAGTTTTAAAAACTATTACACCCAGTACAAAACTAGATTTCAGGGCTATTCCTTTAAATGCACCCTAGCAAAAAATGTGCAGGAAGTTTTGTGGAAAACTTGTATTCCAAGGACTAGAGGTTTTATTCCCTACCAATTGATAAATGTAAATGCCATGATTATGTAGTGCACAGAGTGGCACAAACCATTCTTTTGAGCAATTTTTTCCAGTTCATGTGGCAGACCATATCTATGCATTGAACATAAAAGAATCAGACCCTAAAGGCCAAGAAAAGGTGAAATCCTATACATTCTGGATAATGGGGGGGAGGGGTGGACAACTTTTTGGGGGTTGAAGGTCTTTTTTGGAGGGAGTCTAAATATGCATAGTATCACATTCTTACTAGAGTTTATACTTGCTCACATTCCCATCTACTTTAGGAAGATTAGTTCTATCTTTTTCTCCTTATTGTACAAAGCAAGATGATGCAAGTCTATCAGTAATTGTTCCCACATGAGCCTTACTAATCATGATGCATCTGCCAGTGTTATTTTGAAGTTCTATTTCATGTAAAGGTGAAACAATCTTTCCAGCCACGTTTGTTTTCCACAGTCCAAAATGGAAGCCATTCAATATCTGCAATGACGGGGGCAGAAATCTTCTAGTGCTTAATTTTTCCACAGGGGAAAAAAAAACTATTTCATAAGTGTATAAGTAAACATGGATAGATGACAATTAGAAAGACATTATTAGGTAAGCTTAGCAACTTCAGTTTCATAATACTTCTCATATAATCGTCCCTAACAAGTATATGATAAAATACATATCTGTCACTGAAATACAGCTATGTTTCAGAATAAAATGGGTTGAAGAATTAGTAACAATGAAAGAGATGGTGTTCCAGCAACCTCAAGGGAAAAGAGTTGATCTTTGTTGAAATACACGAGCGGTTCTTAGTATATCATGCAGAATTCTTTGTTAGTGGTACTGTTTAGATGTTAACAGTGGCACTCAGCAGCAGTTCATGAACAGTCACAGAAAACAACCTAAAAATGTTACACTCATAGGCTGTTGCTGGAAAAAAGAAAAAGATTGCATGGGTCCTCAAAATTCATGGGTTAATTTTAACCTATGATTTGCAGCCAAAAGCTGCTGTTATCTCCAAACAGCCTCATTGTGTCATTTTCTTTATTTTTATTTCCCTTACCTTTAAACAATGTAAGAGAATTACATTCCAATTAATTTAACTATTTTTATAAGTACTATCATAAAATGCTACTTGAAATAGTGCTTATACTATTAAAAGGACTTTAATCCCCCCCTGCAATATTTCAGTTCAACTATGTGGTGTACTTTGGTTTTATTTACTTTTTTAGTTTTATTTACTAAATACATATGAAGTAAATATGCTAAATTAGATCACTCTCTAGAGCATATGGAAATTTTATAATGCAAAATGAACATTTTAATGCAAATTACCCTACAGAAGCTAATTTAATTTGCCTAGGAAACTTTCTTGGATTTTTTTCAAGTTCCTAATTTAAAAGGCAGTCCACATGACTAAGCACCAGTATATTAAGAAATCCTTTATAATATACTTGTGCTACAAATGCTAAAAAGGTTACCTGTCGACATTTAGGGAAGAATTCTCCTATAACATACTGCAGGGGAAATGCTTCAAAGTTCATTCCATTCAGAAATTATTCCCGTGACTGAAATAACTGTACCCCCGGCCCAAATGATAAGTGTGGTATCACTCCACATTCCATTGCACTATAGATTTATGAGCCGCTGCAGAAATTATACCAAAGCTTGATATAAACATGCAAACAGTCCAGAGAAACCTTCAAGCATGGTCACAGCTTTATTAAAACAGTAAGAAGAGCCTCATATTTCCAGCATGGACATTCATCACAGCAAATCTATGTAACACTTCAACTTAAAAAATAGACCCTATCAGATCTTGGAGCTTGTTATTTATTTATTTAAAACATTTCTATGCCACTCCCATTGCAACAAAGCCACAGATTTTCCTCCAAGACTTTTCAAGAAAAGTCTTGCACATATCTGGGATTTTTTCAAATCCCGCAATGAAAACCTATAGGCTGGAGACAGGGCTTGCCATCATAAAGACACTGGTTCACTACGCAAAGAGTGAAATGAAGTTCATGTCTCGCAGGAAATGACCTGAAGCTGCTTGTTTCAATGACCATCTAAGGCCCTCCTCTGGGAGAAGCCCATAAGTTGGCAATGAGGGAGAGGACCTTCCTGGTAGTGGCCCCGCGACTGCAGAATGTTCTTCCAGATGAGCAGGACTGTAGAGCTGGACTCAGAAATAATTCTTGGGTTGCTGGAGTTGGAGTCAGTAAAATGTACCAACTCCAACTCCTAATAAATTTAAATCATAATATAAATAATGTGTTAAAAATTTCCTATTTCACAGATAATAATTTGAGCAATCTATTTTTCCAGGTTATATTTTCAGGATACATTTTAACTGGTTAGGATTCTAAAATGTATTCTGATGATTCACATTGGCAGTGATGTAATGCCTTGTAGGTTGAGTACTTTCAATCAATACAGGATGTACAGAATTAGTATATTTATTTCCTGTACTGATATATAAATAAAGAAGTTGGGGGTCTGAGTTGAAAGTACCATAAATTGAGGACTCGGAGTCAAAGGTTTTATGTACTGACTCCACAGCCCTGCTGACGAGGCCACCTGGCATCAACACTTTTTGAAGCCAGGTGAAGACCTTCACATTCCCTCAGCCATTGGGCAACCAATGATAAGGTTTAAAACAGGTCCTTCTTATTAATTGCTTAAAATTGCTTTAAAATTATCTCTGTGCTGAGTATTTCTTTGTTTTTCTATATATGGCTTTACAATATATTTTAAAGGTTTTAATTTTTGCAAACTGAAATGAAAAGGAAACAAATTAAGAAGAAAATGAAAGTGATTTATAAGTGGGCTAAAGTCAATGTAACATGAGAAGACATGTGCTGCACAACAGAATATTCCTTTGCTCCCCTACAGCGACCTCTCCCCATATATAACACATCCAAATCTGCTTCAGAGAGTCTGCCAACCCGCTGAAGCACATTTGGGGGTACATGGAGAGGACTGCAGAGGGGAAGTGATTGTATGGATACAGCTCCATAGCAGTTTCCTTTCTGCTGGCACATGGCCAGCACTGGATCCAGTCATTTAAGTCTAAGTCAACCTTAAAACTCAGCTCATTGCATGACCACAGGCTAGACAACCAGCTAGTCAATACAAAATGCTATTTCAATACAATTGGCATAAGAAATACTACTAGAAGTACTAGTTTGTGAAGAAGCATTCAAAAATGTCCCCCACCTAAAGCAGAACACTTCTCATGGGAATCTTACCACCTCATTCTACAGCCTATGTAGGCTCCGTCTAGCTGGAGCTACAAAAGAGGAAAGGAGACACAGTATCAAGTATTACAAACTTAGTGTGTTTTCCTTTTCAGAAGGGCTGGTTGGCAGGGAAATAAGGTGGTCAGTTTTCCCTTGTACACCACATGTATGCAGCCTCCATCTTCCATTGCCTGATCACCTTTATAATTTTATTAGGTAGATCATTCCAATAATACATCGAGCTACAGAACAGATGCCAGGAGCTTCTGTCCTCAAAGCAGCTTTTTGCACTTTGTGTCAGCACTTTAAAAACCTAGAAGTTCTCACAGGCACTATCTTCAGAATTGCATTCTAATGCTTGCTATTGATAGTGTCAGCATGACCAGCAATTACTGTCTTAATAAACCTAGGCATTGCCATGTAGGATATCTGATTCCAGCTGCTTTGATCTACCACACAACAGTGAGCAAACACTGCCCTGGAAAGGATACGCTGACTTGAAAAGCACATTCCACCCCAGGAAGGACATTACAACCAGATTAAAGCTACAATCCTACAGGCACAGCACATCCCATGAAACAACAGCACTGAGCAATTCCAGTCTTTCAAAAACACTAGGTACTACTGCAAAACTGATTTGTTGATAAACGAAAATATCCCTCTATTTTCTGTGAGGATAAGAAAGAGAAAGGAATACACAATGCATATTGATTTATTAATTCTGGTTTTAATCCTATCCTTTTTCATTATAATTTGGCTAAATTATGTTATTCAGTGATAGGTATTTTATTATCTCAGCTACATTACAAGAAAGTTTTAAAAGTAGGGAGAGCAAAGCAACAGAAGAAAGATACTAAAACTACAATCCTATATACACTTACATTTGAACAGTCATATTTACAATTGTACTGTAAAATTATTTTGGCTGTATTCTTAAGTGTACTGTTTCAAAGAATGCATGACAGCAATGGTGTGCTTGTGTATATTCAGAAGAATACTATACACAAATGAAAGTGTCTTTAAAATCCATTCCAAGCAATTTATAAATTGCTAATTTTACATGAATTTACAACTTTTCACAAAAGTTTATGCTAGATGTGCTTCTTTTATTGCTAAGAGTTAATAAAAGGTCAGACACATCT